GCTAAAAGTACCATGTAGTGTACAGCACTTGTTCAGTACGCATGCTACCACATGGTAGCACTTCAAAAGAGACAAATTATTGCCCTAAAAATACTATCCACATTAGCAGTGGTGCTATAAAAGGAATATTTAGCTGGTTTTCAATATAGTTTGACCAGAATAAGTGAAATCTGCCATGTTCTTGCTGCCAGTTAAATTCAGAGAAGTGTTTGTGCAGAGGCTGGGTGCTGTTGCTTCTGTTGAACCTTTGTGTCCCCTGAAAAGTGCCCACTCTTGTGGAAGTTTTATTTAGTGACAACTGTAAGTTTTAGTTCCTCTGTCTTCTGGATGCCCAAGATTCTGCAAGGAAACAACATTCATCTCGGGATACTCCAGAGAGTCTTTTTGAAGGAGGGTGTGGGTGAGGGAGCAGTAAAGCTCTGCCTTGTTCTGCAATCGGTGACCTGCCTGCATGAAGACGTGCGTAACTTCTGCTGCTTGAGCTCGTAGCTGAAGGACAAATTGGTGAAATGTGAGTCAAGACAAAATACTTAATTGCGAAATCTAGACTGAAAGCTGGGGAGATGTTGGTGGTTTGTAGCATAGAGTTGGTCGTTACCACCTTTGGTAGCGCTGCCTGTGCCCGGCGTACGGAGTGAGCTGGGTGAGTCACAGCGTAAATCCCGTCCACGGCACGTGATGCTGGCTACGCGGTTCTTCCACTTTGGAGGGGCTTGGCTTTTTAGGAGATGCGTTGGCTGCTGCTCTTAAAACCATCGGATCAACTTAAAATATGTTTTGGAAGTTAAGGCCTTGAGCATCTGAGGTGCCATCAAATGTATTGCCTCCAGGCCATCTTTGATCAGGGTTTCACATGTCATCATGTTTACCAGCAGTCTGAATACGGCCAGGCTGAAATGCGTCTCATCTGATGGTAACGATAACTATTTAAGGACTGAATTTCAGCAACACGTACATTGATATGTGACCTCCTGAGAGGTGAATTTTAAAGAAATCTTTATTTAAAAAATGAAAATAATACAGTTTTAGTGATAAATAAACTTGTATTATGTATCGCGTTGTGAGAAGAACACTTGTTTTGGAAGCAGTTTAGAAATGAACTGTTGTTTCAAGAAGGATGTGAATTTGCCAGTCGCTTGTAAACTCTGGTGTCTTAGATTTGTTTGCATTTTAAAATCATCACATGGACCTTTTTACTTTTTTTCAGTGCCTAAGTTGATTTGACATATTCTTAAATCAGGTTTTTGAATAGTGAAATTACTGACTGGAGGATATTTTAAGGTATGTAGAGAACGTGGCTGAGAAGTCCCAGTGTTTAGGTTATTTTTAGTATTTTCTTAAATCTTTTACAAGTTTGTTAAAACTTAGTTTAATTCAGGGGGAAAAAATACCCACCACACTACTGTAATAGGGTTTACAGCTTTCAGTCAAGGGATTTCACATAAGTCAGTTATGTTCAAGCAAAACACAATACTGGATAGTTCTGTACTTTTTCTGCTTTAAGCAAATGATAGTAACACTTTCTAGCTTCATTATTCCTGCCCCCACCCATTTGTTTGCAAACTAACAAAAAATTTGCCCTTTTAGATGAAGGGGGGGGAGGGTTTAATTAATAGCAAAAGAAAATCTTCTGTTCAAAAAAAAAGAGAAGTGCTCAGGAGATGTGTGATGGATCAGGAGACAGAGGCTGTGCATCTTCAGTGCAAGAGGTGCATGATGAGGTGTGCAGGCATGACTGTTAGCTTTCCTCCTCATAAAGACAGTCCTGGGCAAGTAATTTGCTTAAAAATATAGGTACACTGTTTAAATGCAGGGAAGAGGGAGGAAGCATCCTGGTCGGGCTGTTTCCCTGCTCTTTTCCTTGCTCTCACCTCAGTTCTGGGCACCCTCAAACTTAGTGTCACTTATTTGCACCTTTGCAATCTGGCTTGGGAAGGACTGTGACTTGGAACAGTGAAGCCCTTCCTAAAAGAAGTGCGTGACTGTCCCATGTCCTGGCAGACTGAGGACTGGGTAGAAGGAGAGAGCTCTTGCCTAGTTGGTGCTAAACTTCTAGGTCAAAAGATGATGTTTTATATATTGGGCAAAAGATGTAAAGAAATAGTGGTAACAATATCAACAAAAGCAACTTGGGGGCTGTTATCCCTTTGTGCAAGTTGGCAGCTTGTCGGAGCTATCTAGCTACTAATATATGTTATAAAATATATATGTTTGGTTAAAAGAGTTTCCATTTCTCCCTGGTGGGGGCTGCATCATGTTTTAATTTCTGCGGCTGTTTTCCCAAGGCAGAGATGTTAGCTATTGATGCTTTATTGATTCTTTGAGATTTTTCCACTGTTGCCTTCATTATCATCTAACTGCTAACAGTCATGAGAGGAGGAATTGCTGATGGATGGTTTTCAGTGAGTCCTTTTTCTTCTAGATGATACCACTTACACTTATGTTCCGTTACATCTTGCCGATTGTACAGTCTTTAAGAAAATAAGTTGTCCTGGAACTTGGTTACCAGTTGCCTTTCAGATGAACACTTTTAAGATCATGATATACCTTTATTTGGGTTTGTAAAAGATCTGAATGTTTTCTTAGGGCATTGCCTCTCTTTAATATTACACCTCTTAAGGGAGAAATTATCTGAATGGGTCAAACACATGATTTCATAGGAATCTATATACAAGTATATTTTTCCCATCATTGCATGACTACCTCTACTTTGCCAGTGTCCTCAGTTACGAGAGAATTGCCACTGCAAGGAGCAGTCTAGCTCAACTATCTAAAAGTCCACATTTAACTTCCTTGGCAAAAAAAAAGTTTTATCTCTTTCAGCTGCTTTTGAAAGTCCCTTTCTAGTTTTTCTTTTTCATGAATTCATTTGGCTAGAAAGGATCTAACCATAATTTCACGTCTTTACATGTTGCAGCACGTCATGTCAAAAGCAAGTCTTACTTGCTTTCCACACAGATATGTTTGAAAAACTTAATTTAACTAAAATAGTTCATTCTAGCTACATTTAATAAATGGATTATATGCTTTTTCAGTTCAAAATCATGGTCACAGCAGGAGTCTTTTAGTTTGTTCTGGGGGAGGTCTGTGTTCTTTATGTTTTAGTTGTCAAATTTAGAAAATTAATGTCTTCATCCCCAGCAGAAAAAAAGAAAAAAGAAAAAAACCAAACCAACAAAACCTTTGAGAATTGAGCTTCTTTGACAAGGTAGATCTTGGCTTTGCTTTAGTGAGAAACGTTGGGGTGCTGCATGCTCAAGCATCAGGGCTGCTGTTAAGGTGCATGCTTGAAACTGGCCAGTGTTTCTGGGAGTGGTGCAGTGAACGTAGGATTAAAATTTGTTTTGATCTGGCAAGGGGAGAGATTTTCCAACTGACTTTGAAACAGTTGTTTGATCAGTTCTACTTAGCTGTCTCTCGTGGAGCATGTAGGGGCATCTTTAGGTTTGCCTCAGTTTAGGGACAGCCAAACAGTTCAGGCCTTTTATTTGCTTGCAGTGTATCACGGGATTTTGGACTGCAGCCTGGATGGTTTTGCTGGGTTAACTTTGGGGTGCTGCGTTATCATGGTGTCCTGGCTGTAACATAAATTGCAAGTAATTTGTATTAAGATATTATGAAATAAATGCAAGTGCCAGCATATGCTGATGGAAAAAGTCTGCAAGGGCTTATAAAAGCGTATGTAGATTACTTTAAACATACAGTTAGTAAGACATTGCAATTTAATGAAAAGGGCCAGCAGACTGCAGAATGTAGTTTGTGCGGTAAGGGTGATAAGTTGGAAAAATATTTGTCCAATCTTGAAAAATGCTTCCTCGTATCTTTGGAGAATAGATTTCTTTTTTTCTCTTGAAAGGATATGAAGTGGGGGTCTGAAAACTTAGCACATTCTGTCCTCAATTTATGTTGCTTTCTTTTATAATGAATATCATATTTTCATCTGCACAAGGAGAAGCCTTGAAAAAAATGAATGCGTAGGAGGGGGTTTTTTATCTTTGTAAATTTTGCAGCTGCAGACAAAACTTAAGGACTGTATACTATTGTTGCGTTGGATCTCCTATCAGTTGGCTGTGAGCATTGGCTCTTCTGATAATCACAGTGAAATCTGTTTCCTTAAATTTAACCAGCAGGCACAGTGTCTGTCTGTTTAAAAGGTCTAACAAGCGATAAGGTGTGGATCTGCTCGATGGGATTATGTTAAACATTCCTGGGTAGAATTCTGTTCCATCAAGGCAATCTGAACGAAGCGTTTAGTAGAAACAGAATTTATGCGTTGGTACAATGAAACATTACAGCTGTTGGTGTAAAAAGCCTAACAAAAAATGTTCTCTGCTGTCTAAGGTAACTTACTGTATATAAACATATGTGTGTTATGTATAATATATACATACATGCATACTTTTGCATTTATATAACTCTCTGAAAAGAAGAAACAGAGTTGAAAAATTGAAGGTAAATGCAATCAAAACTTTCTGACAGCTATAGCTGGTCCCCCAAACTCTAATACTGAAAATGCAGTTTTACATTGTGAAAAAGACATAAATTGTTTATCTTCTATTTCATATACTGTTTAAATAATTCTCCTTTTGATTCGGAAAGTTACCTAATTCCTGACAGTATTACAGCTTAAATCACAATATTTCCTGGTTACCAAATGGTAAAATGTTACTGCTTAATGAAACCCAGTATCAGAATTTTTTTTTATGAATGAGCAAGGTAATACACACTGTAAATGACGTGTAACAGTTTGTTGATCACTTTAGCAATTAACTGCAGCTGAAAAAAGTCTGCTTACTCAGGCTAGTCTTACTCTCATTCTCTGAGGAAGCTCTGGATTTTCATGAAGACAGGCCAGCAGTGAATAAACCAACTTCTACGCAGTTGCAAAAATGAAAATAAAATAAAATACAGTTTACTGGTTTAATATGAAGCTCTCTCTCAAAACAGTACAGAGTGTGTAAGCTTACTTTTTAAACATACTTTTTATTTAATCTAGTTCAATACCAGATGGAAATGATGCGAAGCCTTCGCCACGTAAACATTGATCATCTTCACGTTGGCTGGTACCAGTCCACGTACTATGGCTCTTTTGTCACTCGTGCCCTCCTGGACTCCCAGTTCAGTTACCAGCACGCAATTGAGGAGTCTGTAGTTCTCATTTACGGTTAGTATGAGGTTTCCTTTATTATTCTTTTCCCCTCTTAATATTATTACTACTATTTTTGTATTCTGTCTTTTGCCTGTAAGAGTAGCCTGGCAGGCCTTTTCAAGTAAATACCAACCCTGTGTCTACGGCAGCCTCAGCAGCAGCTAAGTCTAGACAGGGTTTCCTTCTTTCTGTTTATTTTTCTTGCTATCAGAGCCCTGATGTGTACGTTTTGGAATGCTGGAGTAGCTGCTTCATTTTTATTCCTTCATCTCTCCTCCCTCCTCGAAGGGGCTGGTGGAACCCGACCAGATGTCTAACAAACCCCGCTTGCTAGCGTGTCTGGCTCTGTACGTGACTGACCAATCATCGCACGAATTGCCAAGTTTTTTTTATACCTCTGACAGAAGCATACAAAACCTGGACTGTTTCTTAGCACAAAGATTTTTTTCTTTTCTGCCTATTTAATGGTGTTTCCTCAAGCTCTCCAGACCAGATGTTCTGTGCTGTATCAGAACCGTAGGCAATTTAACAGCTTTATAGCCTCCCCCTCCCCAAACACTCACAGTTTGCCATATCTGGCAGACTTGCATATAGTTTCCAGCTGAGAAGTAAATGTAACGTCCTGAGTATCTGTCAGAAAAAATACTAATGAATACGATCAATCTTATGAGCTGCCCCAAAATTGTTTCAGTATGTTAACAATTGGATTACAGTAAAGAACAAGTTGTTAAAGTATACTTATATTGGCTGGAAACATTGCATCATCAGACCTTGATGAATTTTCCACTTGTTTCAGTCTATTTTGGTTTTCATTTTATCACCGATTGCTAAAAGTTTCACTGTGTTAAGTTTCAGACAACATGAATGTTAACACAGCTTTTATTCTCATGTTGGCATGCTTCAGCCATTATCATGCTGCAAGTGTTAAGCTTCTTTGTCCTAGGAATGTAACAGTTTGTTTAGAAAATTTCCCCCTAAATTCAGCAGAGTACGTCAAGGCAAAACTAATCTTTTTCTATACCAGTTACGTTGTTATGCACGAAGCAGCAGGGCAACTTGCTCTGAGTTAGCTTATTGCTACTCTAAAATTACAATTTTTTTTTTGTGTGTAAAATATAGTTTAATGAATATTTTAATTTACTGCGTAATGACTAGAGGGAAAAATCTTTATTTAAATGAGGTACTTCTTACATAAGGTCTGTGGGTAGTTCATATAAAGGAAAAGAAAATGTGAATTAGATCTTTAATGGGGAAATAATGTTGTCAGTAGAATGGGTCTAGATCCCCCCCATGATCTCCAAGTTTATTAGTTAGCTTCACTGTATATAGCTGGATTTATTTTACATTTAATTACAATAGGTTTACTTCTGCCATAGTTTCTTTTCTGTGTTGGTTGTCTTCATTTTTTTTAAATAGGACTACTTAGTTTACTCCTGGTTATGTCATTCAGATATTTTAAAAAAAAGCAAACTAGGGTTAGTAATAATACTCTTCCTCTATTTTTAATTATAGATCCCATTAAGACTGCCCAAGGGTCTTTGTCACTAAAGGCGTATAGGCTGACTCCCAAACTGATGGAAGTTTGCAAAGAAAAAGACTTCTCTCCAGAAGCGTAAGTGACTCAAAAGAATATTTTCTCATAAGTCTTGCTGGGTTATTTGGGAGGCAGAAGGGTACACACGGTGATGAAATACTATATTTTAACATTTCATGTAATAGCGAGTGCTGGGGAAACTGAATATATGGGTAGCAATAGCTGGGCACGGATACAATGGGCTGATGAGAGATGGAAGTCCGTCTTTGGGCATCTGAATAAGGGCTGAGGTGGTGGAATTTGAACTGATTTTGAAGATGATCAGTGGGCTAGCTGTAAGTACACTGGTGAAGATAGCGGTATCTGGGAACAGAATCAAAAATTAAAAAAAAAAAAGGAGAAGGGGAAATAGCTAGTCTGTCTTTAAGCTCTTTTTTCCATAAGGAAAATTGAACAGGTCTTCTAGAATAACTGCTCTTCTGTATTTATTCCAAATTAACTCCCCCATGTGGACACAATCTTCTGGAGTAAAATAGGATAATTATTCTGTTTCGAAAGGTCAGCCACTTGTAATAGATGTAGGCCTTAGCTGTCATCTTCCTCCCCAAACAGCCTGGTGCTCAACGGCAAAAACACAAGCACTTGTTCAACTTTCTTCTTTGAGGAAAAATGGAATCATTTAATTGCTTCGTGTCTAAACATAACGTTTCCGTGATGAGCAAACAAATCTATGCTTAGTTAAAAAAAAAAGCAAGTGGGGAGGAGAACAGGGCAAGCAAAAAGCAGAAGTTTTTATTCCGAAATCCAATATGCATCCAAAGAAATTAAGGATCCTTAGGAACTTATATATCATGCCTTTATTTCCAGATTTTACTGAAGGTATTTATGTACTTTATTCTAAAACAATAACAATAGTTTTTATACATATATTGTAAAACAAATATACACTGAAAATTTACATTTTAATATCTACCGTAGAATTTCATTATCCTGAAACACACACTATTTTGTCAATCTAATTTTTGGTCAGTAAAAATTGTAGCTATTGGGGAAATTGTTTTTCATTGTAGAAGTTATGACTTTAAAGGTATTTCAGTGTCATGTGGTAACTAACTGTTCATTTCTATTTAAGAAACCCTGATGGCAGGGAAGTCTGTAAAATATTTTGGAAGGGGCAGAGTTAATCCTGTCAGTGCGGTCTTTTGCTGGAGGCTTTTTCATGTCAGTAATGTATTAGAGAGCAAAGCGGCTGCTTGACTTCTGAGAGTTTTTCCTAGAGCAGCGGTTCCTAGTCTTTGTAAATGTGAAGTTTTGCCATGCAAATGCTCTCTTACCAAAACTCAACTCTTGATTGATTGTGGAACTATGAAAATCAAGAGTTTTTACAAAATTGCCTGTTTAATGTACCTGGAGCATCAATTCAACAAAATGGACAAGAAAGTTGCTGGTTATATTAATAAATATTTTTAAACTTTTTTCACAGCTTGAAAAAAGCAAATATTGCTTATGAGAATATGTTTGAAGAAGTGCCCATTGTAATTAAGAATTCATACCTGATCAATGTGATGTTGTGGGAACTGGAAAAGAAATCCGCAGTAGCCGATAGACATGAATTGCTCAGTCTGGCTAGCAGGTAAGTACTTGTTACAATAATGGATGTATTTTTATTCTCTTTCCCAAACCACAGTTTAACACCTTGGGTGAAATCCCAGTCTCATTACAGCCCATGGAAGCTTTGCCTTGACTTTTAATGGGGTTAAGACTTTACCCTTCATGTTCTTTTGCTGAAGGAAAAGCTGCATGGTAAATCTGTGGCATTAGATTCAAGGACTAAATTCCGTCTGCAATCTGCATATACCTGTACTGCTTGAACAGGATAATCCTTTCAGCAGTGTATATTTCTTCAGGAAAATACCGACATTCAGGCAAATAGATCTGGAAATAAAAGTTTTGTTAAATATTCCTTAGGTAATTCTTTATTTTAATAAAAAGTAAGCTGCGTTTGCTGTACTTTGATAGCAGGATGCATTAGAAAATAAAATAAAATAATAAAGCCTCTATCTGAGAAACTGTCAAAAATGCTCAGACCGATTGTCATGACAGCCAGCATTCACAATGTCAGAAATTGTTTAAGAGTTTCTAGAATGATCTTCTCATAACTTTATCTAAGAATATCTTTTTGTTCTCGTAGCATTTTGCCCTGAAAATACATTTATGATAACCAAGTAGGCATGACCTCTAGCAGTATGATCAGAAGTCTGGTGGTGCTTAAATCTTACACAACACAGCACCGTTAATTGGGATATTAGTAGGCTGACCAAAATAACCAGATGCACAAAATGAGGCAGTATCTTGTTGCATGTAGAAAGTGGGATGTATTCACTAGTAGGTTTTTGGGGTGTAACACTTTATTTTTGCATCAAGGTATTGTGTGCTGAGATTCTGATCCCTTCTGACTCTGACAACCAGGTTAGCTGAATGCTAAAGGCCTCTTTTCTTTTTCCTCCTGTGCCCCCCGGCCCCTCTCACA